TAGGCCTCGACCTCTGCTTAGTTTTGGTTCCTCACCTTCCCCCCTTTCCCCCGTTCCAATCCTTCGTCCTGCATTCAGCACTCTCCATTCTCCGTTCTCCGTTCTCCATTCTCCACTCTCGATTCCAGGACTCCCAAACGACCCTGCCCGCAGCTTCGCCTGCTGCTCTGTTTTCCTGTCGCTTCATCGGCATGCGACAAACGGAAATGTTGCTTTTATGCTTTAAATATGGCAACTTTGTGGTGTCGACAGACACACACTCGCACACTCGCACACTCGCAAGGCGCCCCACGGATACTCTCACGCACACAGCCGCACGCCACGCATTCAAAAAAAAACTTGTGTACAATTATTTATAAGTCAAGCGATAAATAAAATAATTTAAGGGCACTATTATAAAGTTCTGAGGGTAAGCATAACTCTTGAAATTCCCTCCTTATAATTCTCAAGTGTTTTTTCCTTACTAATTTAATAACATTTTATAAACTTTTTTTTTAAATAATAATTTTGAGAAAGATTCATTCAAGAAAACATGATACTCTCCTTACAAAAAGTTGAGCTTCTTAATGTACATGTGATCCATGTTTAGATTTTCTTGCACATAGAAGTTTTTAATGACAAGCGATAAATAAATCGGAACTGTAAGGTTCTCAAAAGTTACAGGCAATCAAAAGAAGAGAAAACCCGTTGAAAGTAGTTCCTGAGTCGTAAAAAGTCAATGTATATATCTGAGTGCCACATTTTCTTTGAGTGTATTGACAGTCGTGTCGATTGCACGTCTTGCCTGGCCCTCATCCATGAGGCTTGCTGGGTTCGCTGCCTATGCATCAGCCGCATCTCCCTCGTCCTTCCTCATTCGTCCTGCGTCCTTCTTCCTGAGCTCCGCTTTTGTGTGACTATATCGGGCAACGGGTGTGTGCGAGTGAGTGTGTGTGTGTGTGTGTGTGTGTGTGCGAGCGAGTGTTTGAGCGATCGACCATGAAGCCTTCATTATTGCATTTCATGATTTTGCGGTTCTTTATGCTCGTTCCCTTACACTACGGAACGGCGACACAAACTGGGAAAGCTTCTGCGGGAAAGGCGGTAGCCCCGTGGACTGGTAGGCGTGGCAGAATAGGTTGGGATAGCATTGGATAGGATGGGATAGCTTGGCATGGGATGAGGCAGGACACTGGACGAGAAGCGTCTGCCATGTGCCATGTGCCATTTGCAATGTGTTTGGCCTAACCGGTGTACTGGTGTCGACACTTTCACAACATCCTCATCCTCATCCACATCCCCTTTTCCCTTCCCCTATCCCCTATCCCCTATTCCCTATTCCCCCTCCCCCTCCCCCATTCCCTCTCCACATTTGCCGGCGACAAAGACATCACAGGCATGACCAGGATATAGCCTTTACCCCTCGTCCTGCATTCATTTCCATCTCGAGAATCGACTCGCTTCCCCTGTCTGTCTGTGTGGCTCATTCAAAAATTTTCAATATTTTCTATGTGTGCTGCCGGTCGTTATCACGCATTTCCTGCCATTTGCATCGCCATCGTCGTCTTCATCCACATTCACACTCACACTCACATCCAAATTCACATTCACATTCAAATCTATACTACATCGATGTTGTCTGGGTTGCCATTGGCATTGGAATTGGTAACGGGAATTGCAGCCACAAGACGCTGGCTACGTGGCCAAGAACCGACTTGACCAATTTGCCGACCCTGCGGTTCCATTTTGAGCGCATTAGGCCGCACATTGGACCGGCATAAATGCAAAACCGATCGTGGCCACCTCAAATCGAAGGGAGCTTCCAAATGGCATTCGAGTATATTGCAAATGTCTCAGGGGTTTCGGGTTATCCATCAGCTCCATCAGCGGTGAACTTAATTGAAATTGTTTAGCATCTTTCAGAGTGTAATTTGCATTAGGAAGGATTCAATCTATTCCTTCTCATATCAATTTAAATAGGTTTATTAAATGTATTCACGAAGTCAGTGTTTTAGTATCATTCGGATAAAAGCAGACAGCTATATTATATATATATTTATTCAATTAATAGAAAATGTTCTAAGTAAAATATATATGTTCATATATATCTAAAAATATATTTCTATAAATTCTATAAATATCTTCGAAAAGTCGAATAAATAATAATAACCTGCTAAAATTTAGTTGTATTTATAAATTGCAGAAATTAAATAAATGCATTTTATTTAACTAAAAGTAAAAGTTAAATCACATAACACATATTTTCTTTAAAATAAATGCAAGATACTCATGACCAAATGAAATTTGCAACTCGTCTCACATAAAACCATGTAGTTGTAGCAAACATAGATAAATTAATATAAAAATTGTTATTTTAAATGCAGACTTTCCTAAACTAAAACAAGCAAAGGCCAAATTATATCTTTTGAAAGTATCAATTAGTTAAAATATTTAATAGCCCAGTTTGGCTTATGCCTGATTTATGTGGAACTAACCTTAAGGCTTTAACAAATTAAACAACTCTTGCCAGTGGAAGACTATTTGAATCGGACAGTGAATGCCAAGGACCGCTTTATTAGTTAATTATTCATTATTTAATGAAAACCCTCGACCAAGGCCAACAACTTCCCAAGTGATCCGATAACGTTATTCAATAAATTATCTTGACTTTCGTGCGGCAGATGACCACATATTCTCGCACAGCCAACAGCCAACAGCCAGAAGCCAACAGCCATCGCTCCATCGAACTTCAGCCGCCTTTTGGCCCACTTTATCGGCCAACTCCATGGCCAACGATCGGTGACAACTGGCTGGCTGTCTGGTTGGCTGGTTGGCTGTCTGGTTGGCTGGTTGGTTGGCTGGTTGCTGGGATAACTGGGCTGGCTGACTATCTGACCCGGCTGTAATCCGAGTGGCCATATCCGCCGGGGAGCAACAGCATCGCGTTCAGCTGTTAATGCCACTGATTGCTAATAAATTGAAAACCATTTCGGCACACACAACTGTCGAAGGCCCGAAGGCAATAGGTGGCAGAGGATTTGCACTCGATGCCGGACACACACGCCGAGTTTCCCAGGCCAAGGGAATCGCAATCGAATCGCAATCGGAATCTCGCCTCTGAATTTACCCCCCATCCCCTCTATCCACCAATGAGTATGCAAAAAAAAAAGAAATATTATATAAAGAGTCCACTCGAAGAGTGAATAAAATCAAAATAAAAACTCATTTATCAACACGCATGGGCCGGCCGTCTATATCCATCGACATCGGCATCGGCATCGACATCGATGAAGGTGGACAAATGCGATGGGGCTTTCCACGTGTTGGCCAAAAAGGGAAAAGGTCGCAAAAGCAGGTTAAGCTGCTTTTTAAATAAAGACCACGTTAATACTCGACGATGGGAGATGGGGCCAAGGGGATCCTGCGGGGCAGAGATCCTTTGACTTATTTTCCTTCTATTTTTTTGGTTTTTTAGCAGCCTGGCCACGTGCGAACCATTCCGCTGGCGACCAACGACTGAGGCATGGAGCTCCTGTCGTTCTTTTCGGTTGAAAACCGAATCGAGAACGATTTCAAAACGATGTTGGGCTACGAACAGGGCCGAATGAAAGCCGAAGGATTCGGTAAAGGACTCGGCATCGTCCTCGCACACGATTGGCGACTCCATCGACTTCGGCTGGCAATGCGGACGGTGGCCGTAATCCGTTCGCTGGATTTTTTGAATTAGTTGCGTGTGGTAGCTTGTTGACATCAGTACCGGGTACCGGATGCGGATGCGGACACGTGTGCGTGCTCCTCCAAACACAAGAATCGCTCGCCAAAAATCTCGACAAGTCCTCATCACACACATCCTCTTATTGTCGCGCACAGTCCACAGTTCACAGTTCACAGTTCAAAGTTCAAATAGTTTAACGCGTGTGTGAGATTCCCACAACAACTGGCTTATTTCGCTTATCTTGCTTTTCTCCACGTTTTTTTTTACACTTTTTTCTAAGCCGGTGTGCCACGTGAGTGTGTGCGTGTGTGTTTGTTTGTGTGTGTTTTGTGTTTTGAGTGCGAGGTGAGTGTGATTTCGTTGGTTTTTGTTTCGTTTGTTGAGCCCCCGCAACAGTTGCAATCGCTTTAAAAACTGAGAACCGAGCCTGGTCGAAAAAAAAAAAAAAAAAAAAACCAAAGCAAACCCCTAACTCAAAAACCTGAAAGCCTGAAAGCCTGAAGCCCGAAAACCCGAAAGCCCGAAAACCTGGAAAGCGAACTAAAACCCGGCTGATAGCACATCAGTAGCTGGCCAAAATCCTGACCTGCGGTCCACAATTGCCAATGGCCACCGGTTGTCCGTTCAGCTAGTTTTGTGGTCGCTTTGACGCGGTCGCGGGCAATTTGAAAGCCAACACCGAAACGCCGATTACGATAAGTGCAGTCGAGTCGAGAAAAAAAGGATCCCGGAAAGTGGAAGGCATCCTCATCATCATCATCATCATCATCATCTGCTGAATTTGAATTTGAATCTGAAACTGAAACTGAAACTGAATCAGAATGTGCAAGTGCAACTGGAAATGCAACTGCAACTGAATCAGAATCATCATCATCGCATAACGAAAAACATTTCGCATTCGCTTTCCGCCTGATGTTGTATTTCATTTTCGCATCGCTTTCTCATCCTTTGTCGTCGTTTTTAGTTTTAGTTTGCCAGCAATTGCTGCTGCCAGTTTGCAATTAAGGACCTACTCCCCCTCCATCATCATCGCCATCATCTGTTCCCCCCTGCGAACTGCAACTGCAAATGGCAGAAAGCGAGGGCGAAGGGGCGAGATATTAAATACTAAATGCTGCCAGCTGCCAACTGCCAAGGGAAAGGAAAGGCAGTTCAGTTCGCTCCGCCTGTTGCCGTCGTCGTTCGTCAGCATTTTGGTTGAGGCCGCAGTCGCAATCGCAATCGCAATCGCAATCGCAATCGCATCGCCATCACCAACACCAAAGTCATCGTAGTCATCATAGCCATCGCAGCCATTGCGGCCATCATTGTAGTCATCGTAGCCATCGTAGCCATCTCCCCCAGGATTTCTGGGCGACCATCCAGCCACTTTGAGTGCGAAGTGCGAACAGGTGAGTGACAGACAGCCGGGAAACAGGGAATCAGGGAATCGGGGAATCGGGGATCAGGGATCAGGGATCAGGGATCCTTTCCACCGAGATCGTACTGCGGTGCTAAAAGTGTCGCCCTCAAAATTGATAACTGAAAATTGAAAGGGAAGGAATCAGATTGGTAGAAAATATAACTGCAGCAACACATCGATCTTTCTTCATCTTTGAAGTGAATATTCTTTAGATATGAAAACCGAGAAATGCGAGAAATGAAATCGTTGTGAGCATAAATCTATATTTCACTTTAGGTGTTCATAAAACTGTGTAAAAAATTACCAACAAAGTAGGCTTGAGTGAGAAATATTATTCTGAGAAATACAACCACACAATAGTAATTCTTGTCCCGATTAATATAAACATATAATGAGAATAAGGCCATTAGTATATTTTTGAAAACCTTTCGGATCACTAACAGCAATTAATAATAATTAATAATAGCATTGGCTACAGCAAATCGACCTCAAAGAGGTTTACGTGATCGAAAGATACTGCTGCTGATTCATACACAAATGATAGACTTCTGAACCCCTCAAGGGGCACACGTAAACCACTTTAGGCCTTTTGTGGAGTTTATAAATAAAACAAGTATGTAAATTTGCACGAATACATAAATGTTGATGTTGATATGCGCGTATAAATAAAATGTGGAACGGAATGGTTGGCCAAAGCGTAATTACTTGCCATTCCATCTTGACAATCGCTTTCAACAATTTAAAATATTTAAATGGGCAATGAGTGAGTCAGGTACTAAAACGGGTTAACTTTAAATATTCAAGCTATAATTTTACTGCCCATCATAGGTTGTTGAATTCCATTTGAAATTCATATTTGTACAAATGTGCAAATCGTATGGGGATTTTAGTAGACAGAGTTACCAAATCAAAATATTAAAATATAATTGTATCCTTTTCCGGATCCTACTTCTCCTCACTTTGTTTATTTAGCAGGAGATTTGTTTCCTTCTCCTCAAAATTCTCGTTGGGATCTTCGTCCTCTTCGCTCAACATGAGTTTGTAGGGATTCTGTAGTCCGTACTCCAGGATGCCATCTATCTTTCCATTGTCCTTAGCCCCATTGTCATCCGATTCCGATTCGGAGTCCGTTTCGCAGCAGAGGATCTCGTGGGCCAACAAGGAGATGGCCTCCTCGCAGAAGATCCCTCCCTCATCCCAGTCGTTGTCCGAGTCCCCGGAAAGTGGAGTATACCTGCTCCTCTGGCGATCGGCGATTCCAACCTTCTCATTTGCCTCCGGATCGGATGTGCTGTTGGCTGGAATATGGGATTACTTATCCTTGGATTGGGCTAATCCAATATCCTTCTATGGGAAATATCACCTTCATCCTCGCTATCCGTTCCACAGGAACTCGTTTCCTCACTGCTGCTACTCGTGGGATTCCCAACCTCCGAATGGATTTCCATTTGGTTCCAGGTTAAGTTAGCAATCGCTTCTAGTTTATCCCGATATATCCTCGTTTATTATATGTGTCTATATGCTATCCCCAGCTGCCTCCCGTTGTGATTCCGAAACTTGTTTCAATGCGTGCTGGAAATGCTTCGCCCGGCAACTGGGATTCAGTTTCGGATTCCGTCCGGGTTTTTTGCTTCTTGGTTTCTGGCTGGGTTTCTGGCGAGTTTGAGTTGGTGGCAGGAAGCCGGACTGGCAGCACGTAATGTCCTGGGCGCTTCCTCCCAGGACGGCGAATTAAATTTTATGCCAACTGCATTGCCCTTAAAGGCGAAGGTCCTTCTTTCCTTCAGCGAGCAGGGGAAAGGAGCTGAGGGAAGGGAATGCGAATGGGAACCCAAGATGGAGTCGAAGTCGGAGAGACCGGCCAACTGCAGAATCGTCACAGGCCGCAGGCCGCGCTCTACATGCACACTCGGCCAAAAAGGACACACACACACACACATATATGAACACTCACACATACGCGAAACTGACTACCGCAGCAAAGTTACATTTGAAATTTTATTTCCATGGCCGTGGTGGCAATGCAACAAATAAAAACGAGACTCGGAGTTGCTTTCTGACCCCCGGAGTCGTTATCATTGTATCACTCACATCTCGACTAGGCGACACGCCTTCTCCTCCCACCCCCTCCCCCTTTCCATGTCCTTCGTCCTTCATCCTTCATCCTTTTCCAACTCCCATTGCAAAATACATCCGGATGGGGGAGCAAGCCAACCCAAAACTCAATGGAATGGTCACAAATTAGCCGAGTGCAAACGGGCCTTAATAAAATTTATAAATTGATATAAATTATTATGAGAGTAATTATCATATCGATGGCGGCGAGAACACATTTAATTGAATTCCTTGTTTTTCATTTCGAACATTTTTCAGGGGGAGCGACGTGAGCGCTTGTGGCTTAATTAATTTCGCTCACCTATTTCAGTTATTTATTCCTTGAATAAATGGTTCGGAAAGCCTAATGGCTTTTGCAAAAACAAATAGCAAGGAAATATGCTGCAAATTGAACTAGAATTTTTCAAATGCAATCTAAAGCTGTCGGAAAAATATGACAATGAGTTGTAAGCTAAGGAATTGGATTTAACACATTACAAATCAGCAGACTAGTTTACTAAACCTACGGAGTCAATTAAATATTCCTTATAAATAAACTTTATTAAATTATAAGGATGTTTATTTTTTAATTCTCAACGCATAACTTTAATAACCTAAATATTAAACTAATAATTCTTAATTATATTAAACGCAGTAAGATTGGCAGGGTAATAATTGTATGATTCTCTATTTCTACCCATTGAAAAGCATTCTGTTTCTACAGTGATTCAGTGGCAAATGTTAACTAGCTCGAATAATCGAAATCAAAGTTAACGAACTATATACATAAATACGCCTACTAGACTGATGATTATTTATGCTTAAAGGGTGTAAATTTTGTAAATAATTCAACTGATTAGCGATACGGCAAAATAGGAGCAAATGGTGACCTAATCGACCAAAAATTACTAATCTTATATATTACCTTTTATGCATAAATAGATCTGCTAATTTTAAGTGTTAGAGTTGTAGATTCTTCTAGTTGGTTTTATTTTCTTTTATTCCAATTAGTGGCCACTAGTGACCAGTCGACTAATAAATATCTAAATTTTCTAACTTGATTATTAAAAATAAATAATTATATATATGTTGTGAATTATTAACTATGTTTGTACTCTTCTAATATGGATTTTATTCACTCAAACTAAATATCGCTCCTGGTTCCACTGTGAGTTGGAGACCAGTGGTGACCCAGTCGACTAATATCCCCCTCTTGGCCCGACTGCTCTGGGAAGGAGCCTTCTACCGCTCCCGCTCCCGCTTCCATTTGCACTCCGAGTGGCATTCCCTTGACCCAGGACGAGGCCAGGACCACTTTGGCGAGCCACAATTTAATTTCTGTTTCGGTTTCGGTGCAGTTTTCTGTTTCAGTTTCTGTTTTTTTGCTGTGTTGCAACAGTTCAGTAGTTCGCCCGTTTCGCTTTCTTCCGTCCGTCCGTCTGGCCAGCTTTCCCATTTCCCCTTTCCCATTTCCCATTCTCCTGCCACCGATGTTGCATTCGAGGCCTTCCGGTCGTCAGGGGCCCTCGTTTTGTGGCTCGTCTCTCGCCGTGTGGCATTGTGTCGCCCCGAAAAATTCCCTGGCCCGGCACCAAAATCCAGGATCTCCACCAGAAAAATTCCAAATCCACTTTTCGGTTTTCGAGCCTTCAGTTTCAGCTTCGTCTTGGACTCGTCCTTTTGTGGGAACATCCTGAAATATCCTGGCAATAACCAGGAATATCCAGTTTAAAGCACGCTGAGAGGCGGGTAAATCGAGCTCACTGCGTTAACGAACATAATAACCCTTTTCTCTCTAATTACACACCAAATTTACTACAAACGAGCAATAAAAATCATCCAAGCAAAATCTCTGCTCCGGCCACAGAGCCTCTCCACCATCCGCACCATCCGCACCACCCACAAAGCCCCACCAACGCGCACCACCCACTCATTTTCGACCCACCAGCCTCCGATTCAGGGAAACCCCTTTCCGCGTAGCGCTTAAATGCAAATGCTTTTTCCCATGCACAGCACAAAAAACATTAACAACAATGACAATAAATGAAAGACATTAATGCTAAGCGATCCGCGTCTCCGCCCACAAAAGAAATGGGATTGGAATGGGGATTGGGATGGGGATTGGGATGAGGTTGGGGATTGGGATTGGGAGTGGAAGTGGAAGTGGAAGCCTGACGACGAGACAGTGACAGGATTCCCGGCGAGAGCGAGGGTCCTTCGTCCTTTATTCTCCCTCCTCGACAGTCAATGAAATAAAATTAAACAATTATGAAAAAAAAAGACACGCAAACCGGGGGGAAAAGGGAAGGGGAAAGGTGAAATGCCCTAGGATTTATAATTTGGAACAGTGCTGCCTTGTCCTGGGGAAAAAGTCAAAAGGGGTTAGTCCTTCCCCTGTCGTTTCCCCTTTCCACATATGATTATTTGATGCTTTACCCCCAACAGAATATATCCTCCGACATATCTGTCTGCGACCCCGCCGACTTCCACTTAAACCTCGCTCATTCATTCACTCGCCCCGTCGACAGTGGGGCAAATTTTACGCGACGTAATCGTAATATGATTATCGTGCCACATAATCCCCTCATCCTGTGTCCTCCTGCCTCCTGTCTCCTGTATCCCTGTGTCCTTGTATCCTTGTGTGCGTTAAATAACTTCCTTCCGGTGGCGACAACTCCGTTTTTGGGTGGCACGATGGTACGATGCTACGATGGTGCTGGGTGTATCCGCTTCCGCTGAATGATGCCGCAGAAATGCCGCCCAAATCTCATATCATCATTTACGCAGTAATTTTTAGAAGCCAACTGGATGATGGCTGGCTGGGTGGGTTGGTTGCTTCGTTCGCCCCACCCACTTCGCTTCGCTTCCGAATTATCCAATTCAGCCAGAGGACACTTTCGGCCTGCTCAGTCCACAGAAAGGCAACTGCATCGCCCGTCATCAAACCATCAGGCCATCCAGTGATTTTCCCGGGCAGCCAGGACCTTTTCGCCATAATAAACAAAGCTTCAGCTCGCAACTCATGCGAGTCAACTTCCAACCGACGACTGTGACTTTGGCAGCGTGTTGAGGGCACGTCCATCCGGCAGGATAAGGATGTCGACAGAGGGAAGGGGGAGGGATTGGGCGTTGGGCTGTTTTCTGCTCTCAGCGAGTGTCCTTATTTTAATCTCGACACAAGTTAACAGCATTGTTGGCAGCCGCGTGCCATCCGTGAGCTTTTGCCTTTGCCTTTGCCATTGCCATTGCCTGTGCTCTCCTAACTCAACATAATGCGCACAGCTCGGCATTCATCCTAACCGCATCGCATCGCAGGACTCTCCTCCTCCCTTTCCCCTTCAAAAAGGGAGGACTATCCCTAGTTTCAGTTTCAGCCACCGGAATACCTACCCATCCCCACTCCTACTCCCACTTTCCCCCTCGTTGTCCTTGTCCACATCCTTGTCATTAGCAGTTAGCATTCAGACGATGTCGTCGTCGTCGTCGTCGTCGTCGTCGTCGTCGTCGTCTCCTTCGCTGCCTGTCGCCTGCCGTTCATAATGTTATGATGGCTAAAAGCTAATTGCGTTTGTCTGTGTTAGTTGCTGACATTTGGCCTCCTCTTTGCCTCTTCGTCCTTGGCCCCGCCCCCCGCCTTTCCTTCCCTTTACGCCCATCCATCCATCCGGCGTCGACGTGGCGGCATTAAGTGTCACTGGAGTGCGTGATCCTTGTAAGTCGTCTAGTTACACATGTTTTTATAACCTGTTTTCCACGAGTACCCTGTGTTGTCCCGCCAGCCATCAAACGGGTGGATTAGTTTAAGGACTAAGCAAGCAGCTCTGCATCCTGGTTTTGCCAAAGGGTTTCTCATCCCAACTCCCCTCCCCCTCCCCCTCGGAAAACAATGGGATGAGCTCGAGTGGAAAATCATAAAAATAATAACGAGATCATGGCAAGCAAATCAGGTTGAATGCATTCGAAGGAGGCACTTTCCAAGTGGATGGAAAAACCAGAAGCTGTTCCTAAATCACTTAGTGAAATCAGAAAATATTCCGATTTTTGTTATAAGTTTTAAACGACTGGTTATAAATTTGGGAACTTGTCTAAGAAACTTATCTTAGAAACTTCTCTAAGATTTTATTGTGAGTTATTCAGCTTTTACTTAAAAATAAATTAATGATGAGGGTTTTTATGTCCTCTTAATTCGAAATAGAAGCTTCCCTCTTTTCGCACTTAATTATTCCCTAAATTCTTATCCCTCTCATTATAGTTGCTATTTAAATTTATTTCATATTAAAAATATATTCGAATTCCCTTCACATATAATTATTCCACACATTCGAATCCCCATTATTAAAGTTATTATTTAAATGTATTCCAATTACTGGATATGAATCTGTCGAATTCCGCTCGATTATCGCCGTGGTTGGCGGAAGTTCGCTTTGTTTTCGCCGACGTCATGCTCGTCGTCCTTGTGCTTCCCCCAGAAA